CATCTCGGGTGGCAGATATGCGCTCCCCTATCCTCTCTATCTCCTGATCAGACACCTGGTCTAACACCTGGCCAGCCTGGCTACAACGCTAAGTTTGATCGCTTGCTCAAAGTTGTTGTTGCAGCTTTGGAAAGGCGACGTAGTGCCATGATTAAGCATGCTAACAAGAACGCCAGCCTGAACCTTTCACAGTGGGAAGTTACGTCTGGGTCAAAATGTCTGAGTTTTCTGGAAAAGGTGTATCGTGAAAGCTTCTTCCTCAGTATTACGGTCCGTGGAAGGTGCTAAACCAGGTGGGGGATGATTCATTCGGTCCTTCTTAACGATCGACGTGCCTTCTCATCTGCACTGTACCCAGTCTTTCACGCATCGAAGTTGTTTCCGTATCTGTCACCTGAAACTTTCATGTATGGAGAATCGACGATCCCTCATGCAATCAATGGCGGTCACGAGATTGATAGAATTGTCGAACACAGTGGAAAGGGGAAGAACAGGCAATACAAGGTCCATTTTCTCTATCACTGGTTAGATTATTCCTTGTGGATTTGTTACAAAGACTTGCTGCAGAGTGCCCCGCGAGTCGTCAAAGCATATGAACGACTGGTTGTCTTCAAACAACAGCCAAAATTTACCGCTACCCTCACTCCGATGGAACATACCCGATCACTGTTTGCCATCTACGCCTGTGATGCGTTGTGCAGGGACTCTGCGTGAGTTACTCGCTCAAAGGGACCTCGCTCTTGAAGAAGGGGGGGGGGTAGTGTAATGACCCGCCATAACAAAGACTGAGAACACTACTGATTTCTGAGTTCTGCCGATGGAATGGATGCCTTGCTGAGATTCTGCTGAGTTTTCTTAGTCTGTGTGTTGCATGCTTGGTGACCGGTGTGCCTGTCTGAGTGTTTGTCGGCCTGAGTGTGTGTGTGACCCGCACCGGTACTTGCTTGTTTGGGAGGCCCGTAGGGCTGGTACTTACCTGTGGCCATGACATTCAGGGTGCAGAGGGGGAAAACACTCAAGTGGCAGGGCAAGAGGCCCGCGACACTTACAGCAGTGGAAAAACACTCAAGTAGCAGGTAGGGCGGTACCACACCAAGTAGAAGTAGATGTGCCGGGTACTCTAGGCCGAGCAGAAGAAAACAAAAGTTGGCATTTTTAGAGGCCCAGTAGTTGTAGGCTAGGTCTAGGCGAGTACCAGTCCAACCAGTCAGAGTCTAAGGCCTGTATGGGCAATATCAGAGTCTGCAATGATGTTTCCCACCGAAAGGGAGGAGGTACCTGTTGCTTGGAGACCGCGCGGCCTAGGAAGTCACCGCCCAAGAGGCAAGCAAACCGCTATATCTCCAGGAGGAGCAAAGTGCTCCTCCTCATTCTTCCGTGTGCAAGTTTGACGGCACACTGCCTGGAGCGTTGGTTGGAGGAGCGTTGGGCATTACAGCGCTACTAAGAGGAAGGAGACCGAGAGCTCCCACCGGCTATGGTGGAGCTCTACCGGTAGGAGGACGAGGAAGAAGGGGGCTAGGAGGGAGAGTGGGGAGGTACCTACCTGTCTATGGTGGACACCATCTTCATCACCTTGTTAGGCGCGACATCTGGAAGGGCCCAATCGGGGTTGCGCCGCACCAAGAAGGCTTCAACGCAGAGTCAGGCATGGCGGCCTGAACAACAGTGAGCATAGGTGGTTTGTGTTGTTCTTTGCACAGCACGGCGAGGCCCTAGTAGTCTGCCATAGCCCTGGACTACATTAAGAGGAAGAAGAAGGGTGACCATGGCTATGGTGGACCTCATGTTGTGCCTGCAGTAGAAGAGGGATTGTACATTGATTGATTCTGGTTCAGCCATTCAAAAACATTATCATTGTTATTTATTGTTTGAATAAGAGGGGAGGAGAAAAGGAGGAGAGAGGTTGACTGGAAGGAGGAAATTATCATTGGTCGATGTTGGTGTACATCTTTTTCTTCTTTCTTTTATCTTCTTCTTCTTCTTTCCCCCTCTTCTCTCAAGTTCATTCATTTCTTTTCGCAATTGGACGACATTGTACTTTCTCATGAATGTGTAATTCGAAATTGGCTAGGATCGTAACAAAATCCCGGTTCCCATTGTATTCTTTGTGCCTTAATTCCTTTCTGCCTACTTACCGTTATAGGCAATCGTTTCTAACAAGTAATAAATAGAATCAATAAGTATCATAATTAATGATTTCTAGTAATGAACATTCTTCTTGATTAATCTTATTGAGAAATGTCTTCATTCTATAAAACGAATTAAATCCAATTAGAGTAATTACAGTATTCTATTCTATTACAATATATAAAATTATAAATATAAGTATATATTATTACATTCTTATAAATCACATTATTATAATATATTATATATTTGTTAGAATATAGAGAAAAATTAAAATAGATAAAAATAGATAATTCTACAATAATATAATATGTAAAGTAATAATAATATAATATATATCATAAATATCATTCATATAAATAATAGATACAATTCATATAAGTAGAATTCGTATAGTATAGAAATAGAGACTCGTATCTCTATTTCTGAAACGATATTCACCAGTTCGCAGTAGCGAATGCAGATCCCAGGGCTCGATCCCTATTTCCCCATCTTACCTATGAACAGTAGTGATGTCAACCCGTAGATTTGAACCTGCGAGTTGTCGAAACGCCAGTGGTAGGTAGATTGTCGTAGGTCACAGCTTAGAAGGGAATCGAACTGTGGACTTGTAGGGTAGGAGTCTAGACAGTTCCGAAGTCGTAGTTGTAGGATGTCTGAAGGGTCAAGGTCGTAGTTGCTACTTACCCGAAGGGGCAAAGTCGTAGCCGCTACAGCACCGAAAGGCCAAGTCAGAGGTTTCTAGAAGTGGCCTTTCGGAGTGAGCCTACGTTGAACAGAGGCAAGTGGTCAAGTGGTGGCAGGCCACCCTGCTGAGTCAACAGTCCCAGTTAGGCAGTCCGGTCCTGTCCAGCAAGTACCGTCTGGGACTGTGTGCACC